AGACATGTAGACCAATGGAACAGAACAGAAACCCCAGAAATAAATATATGCATCTACAACCAATTAATCTTTGACAAAGGAGCTAAATTGAATTTCTGGATAAAGGACAGTCTCTTCAACAAATGGTGTTGTGAAAAATTGCATCTGTACATTCAGAAGTAGGAAACAAGACCCTTACCTTACACTTTATACAAAAATCAACTCACAGTGGTTCAAGGTTCTAAATCTATTACCTGATACCATCAAATTAGTTGAGGAACACATTAGGGAAATTCTTCAAAATATTGGCATAGGCAAAGACTTTTTGGAAAAGACCACAGAGACACAGACAATAAAAGCAAAAATAGGCCAATGGGATTACATCATGCTACGAAGCTTGTGCACTGCAAAAGAAACACTCAACAAAAAACAGAATAGGAGAAAATATTTGCAAACTAAGCAACTAATAAATGATTAGTATCTAGGATCTATAAAAAGCTCAAGAAACTCAGCAATAGCAAAATAAAAAATTCAGTTAAGAAGTGGGCAAATGGGGCCAGTGCTGTGACATAAAGGGTAAAGCCACCGCCTGCAGTGCCGACATCTGATATGGGTGCCAGTTTGAGACCGACTTCCAATCCAGGTCTCTGCTATGGCTTGGGAAAGCAGTAGAGGATGGTCAAAGTCCTTGGGCCCCTGCACCCACATGGGAAGACCCAGAGGAGGCTCCCATCTCCTGGCTTCGAATTAGCGCAGCTCCAGTCATTGTGGCCAATTGGGGAGTGAACCAGTGGATGGAAGCCCCCCCCCCACCTCTCCTTCTCTCTCTGTGTAACTCTGACTTTCAAATAAATAAATAAATCTTTTAAAAATGAAATGAGCAGGCCGGCGCCGTGGCTCAATAGGCTAATCCTCCGCTTTGTGGCGCTGGCACACCGGGCTCTAGTCTCGGTCGTGGTGCCAGATTCTGTCCCAGTGGCCCCTCTTCCAGGCCAGCTCTCTGCTATGACCTGGGAGTGCAGTGGAGGATGGCCCAAGTCCTTGGGCCCTGCACCCGCATGGGAGACCAGGAAAAGCTCCTGGCTTCGGATCAGCGCGATGCACCAGCTGCAGCGTGCCAGCTGCGGCGGCCATTGGAGGGTGAACCAACGGCAAAAGGAAGACCTTTCTCTCTGTCTCTCTCTCTCTCACTGTCCACTCTGCCTGTCCAAAAAAAAAAAAAAAATGAAATGGGCAAAGGACATGAACTGACATTTTTCAAATGATGAAGTACACATGGCCATGTATTTTATGAAATAGAGATACATGAACAAAAGGCTCAGGATCACTAGCCATCAGGGAAATGCAAATCAAAACCACACTGAGGTTTCACCTCACCCCAGTTAGAATGGCTATCACCAAAAATCAAAATATAATTAATGCTGGCAAGGCTGTGGCAGGAAAAGTACCCTAAAACACTGTTGGTTGGAATGTAAGCTAGTCCAATCAATAAGGAAGAAAGTAGGGAGATAAGTCAAAATTTGAAAATAGATCTGCTATATGACCCAGCCATCTCACTCCTGGAAATTTACCCAAATGAAATGAAATCAGTATATGAAAGTGTTATTTGTACCTCTATGTTTATTGCAGCTCAATTAACAATAGCTAAGATATGGAATCAACTCAGATGTCCATCACCTGATGACTGGATAAAGAAAATGTGGTATATGATGAAATACTACTCAGCCATAAAAAGAATGAAATCTTGTCTTCAACAAAATGGATGCAACTGGGAAACTATTATATTTAGTGAAAGAAGTCAGTCCCCAAAGGACAAATATCATATGTTTTCTCTAATATGCAGTAATTAATATAGAATACAAAAAATGTGTAATAATGAAACAGACATTTTGTGACTGATTGTTGTTTTCAGCCCTTATTTATATACCTAAAGAAATGTGGTCTTCCCACTTTTTACTTGTTGACTATTATGGTTAGTGCTGCATTAATCCTATAATTATAAAGTGGACTTAAATTATGTTTTTGCAAAAGTTAATTAAAAATAAAAGAGGTGGGACTGGCGTGCTGTGGCATAGTGGGTAAAGCCACTGCTTGCAGTGCCTGCATCCCATTTGGGCGCAGTTCGAGACCTGGCTGCTCCTCTTCTGATCGAGCTCTCTGCTATGGCATGCGAAAGCAGTGGAGGATGGCCAAAATCCTTGGCCCCTCCACCCGTGTAAGAGACCCCAAAGAAGCTCCTGGCTCCTGGCTTCGGATCAGCGCAGCTCCGGCCGTTGCAGCCAATTGGGGAGTGAATCAGTGGATGGAAGACCTCTCTCTCTCTCTTTTTCTCTCTCTGCTTCTCCTTCTCTGTGTAACTATTTCAAATAAATAAATAAATCTTAAAAAAAAAAAAAAACAAAGAAAAGAGGAAAGGAGGGGCATTGAGGGAGGGAGAGAAGAAGGGAAGGCATTATGGTTATCTACTTAGAATTTTACCTATGAAATACATAAACTCTGTTCTTTTATATTAATAAAAAATTTAAAAGAAAAAAGCATTACTTCCATGTCTATCTTTCATGATGTCTATATTTTCCACTGATAACAATGACAAATAGATATACTCAAGTCAGGGATAAAATAGATCATATAGAATATGAAGGAGGCAGCCGGTGCTATGGCATAGGAGGTAGAGCCGCCGCCTGCGGTGCCGGCATCCCATATGGCCACTGGTTCCAGTCCAGGCTGCTCCACTTCCGATCCAGCTCTCTGCTATGGCCTGGGAAAGCAGTACAAGATGGCCCAAGTCCTTGGCCCCTGCACCCGTATGGGAGACCTGGAAGAAGCTCTTGGCTTCTGCTTCAGATCAGCACAGCTCTGGCCATTGCAGTCAATTGGGGAGTGAATCAGTAGATGGAAGACCTCTATATCTCTCTCTGTCTCTGCCTCTCCTTCTCTCTGTGTGTAACTCTGACTTTCAAGTAAATAAATAAATCTTTAAAAAAATAAAATGAAGGAGGATATCTGGAATAAGAAGAGTCAAAGGAAAAAGCAAGAACAAATAGTTTTGACACAAAAATCATCCTTAGGATAGTCACAGAACCAGAGGGAGGCCAATATGTCAAGGGAAGTATGAGCAGTCAGGACAGAATTAAGAGGTGTCTAAGAAATGGGATAGTGATACAGACCATGCTCCCTATACCATAAGGACTTTTCATTTAAATCAGAGTGAAGCGGCAAATTATTTTGAGCAAACAGTGGCTTTTAGAAGGAAGCCTCTAGATGCTGTGTTGAGAAAAGTGTTAAGGCTGCCCAAGAAAAATTAAAGCAGCGAGATTCCTTAAGGGATTCTTCTAGGTAAGAAATAATTATACTTGGCCTAGCGCAGCAGCAGTGCTTATAGTGATGAATGATCAGATTCTGATTATATTCCAAAGGAAAATCTGAGAAGATCTGCTGTTGAATTGGACACAGGATATGAGGCAAGGATAGAATCAAATACAACCCCAACGTTTCCGTCCTGAACAACCGTAAGTACAGAGTTGTCATTTACTGAAAAGGAAAAACATACGAACCCATATTTTTTGAGCACAGGAATTTATTGGTGATAACTCCTGTGAGAGTTGGAGTATAGGGAGGGTCTCAGAGCACCCTGCAGAGCTGACAGTCTCAACCTACTGAGCAGGGAAAGGGATCCTACCCAAAACAGTAACGCTCCGTCCTCGCACCCCCCTCTGGGCTTACATCATGTGGGACCCACCCAAGACCACAGTCTCAGCTCAAGACTAAGGAAGACCCAGAAAGCAATGAGTGAACTGCTCTCGCCTAACTTCTTGCAAGTGAACAGTAAGTTGTTTCTTAAAGCAGATAGGAGAGAATTCCTCCGTGGTTGCTACAAGCTTCCCCAGTCTGGAAAATCTCAGCCCAGTCATTCCCTTAATCTCTTACCAGCCCATTCATTTTAAGAGAATAAATTCTATAAAGCATTTCAGTTCAACCACACTAGAGAAAACTGTGCCCATCCCGAATGTTACATTATACAAGAAGAAGACTGGCATCATGTCCCACGGAAGGCCTGCCCATTTCATTAAGTGACGAGGCAGGATGCAGATGGGAAAATGTCATTTCTGAATAGCTGTTCAGTAAGTGTGATTCTCTTCCCACAGATGCTAAAGAAAGCAGCCAGCCCCACTTGACCACTTGTCCAGCATCTCCCCTCCATCTCCTCCCCTCCCTGATTCCAGGAAGGTAGGGGAGGCATGTCAATCACTGGACATAGCTTCCAGCCAGCGTCTGGCCCGTGGGTAGCCAAGTGACCGAGTCAGATTCCACGGACTCTAGGAGGTTATAGTTTCTTGCTCCAATCCGGAGCTGTGAGGATGTCGCCTGGTGCTAGTGAAACAGAGCAGCAAGTCCAACACAGGAAGGAGGCCTGGGGGGGTTCTGAGCCCAGGACGTCATGCTTGCATGGCTCCAGCTTCTGTCAGGCCCCAGGAGCCAATCAGTCCCTTTGGGTTTTCAACTCTGCTGAGAGTTTTTGACTAACAGGGCAGTCAGCCAAGGCCCCTCTCTGGCTGTTCTGTGGCCCCTGTAAGGGAGGTAAGGGAGGAAGAGGCCAGGGAAATGTCCTTCTTCCTGAACCTGCAAATGTTTGGGAGCATTCTGGCCTCACAGGAGAACACTGGAGTCCGGATCTGGTTCGCCTCGTCCCCACATCTCAAGGATCCGATCCGGGCGGGCATGACTGTGTCCACCTCACAAGGGGGAACTCAAGGTCTGGAGCGGGCAGGGAGTGAGCCCAGCGCCACACACCACCTGGAGCGGCTCCTTAAGTCTCACAGGAGGGAGAATGGCAGCCGTGAGTGGGAAGGCGGTTCAGGCTGGGGGACGAGGAACGAGGGGCAAGGCCTCTCAGTCAAGGCTGGCCTGCTCTAGGTCCTGGAGCAAGGATGCAGCCTTTCTGCAGGCACCATTGGGCCCTGGCCACCTTCTTGTGCACTTTCTGCCGCCGGTTTCGTCTTGCAGCGGCTGCATCTTCCAGTGACGCTTGCGCAGGGCTCTGCGCTTTTCCTTGACGTCAGGGCCTCCTGCCGCAGCCTTTGTTGGCGCGGATCTTCACGCCCTCCGCCTTCTATAGCAGATTGGTCAACTCCATCTTGGCCTCCAGCTCCTGGGCTTCGTGCATGTTCTGCTCCCGCAGCTCTTCCAGCCTGGAAATACCCAGCAGCCACCGGTCAGATTCCTCTTCACCTGTACCTCTTCCATCCCACTCCAACTGTCTCCCGCCTTTTCTCCAAGGCAGTGGCCGACAGCTCCATGGTACCGCTCTGGCCCCAGTCCTCCTAGATCTAAACGTGCAGCCACTAAGGCAGGACATGCAGGGCAGAGAGAGCCAGGCCCTGTGGCCAGGCCATTTGCGGGAGCTCTTGTGGAACTGGGAGTCTTCTCCTCTGTGGCCACCTCTCGCTTTTTGCTCCCAAACAAGTTGGAGACTTCTCCCCCGAGGACTTGACTGTGTGCTTTGCAGCCTTCACTTTCTTCTCTCCCGTAATTTCTTGTGTTTTCTTTGTGGAGGCCCAACGGTTTCTGAGCTTTGAGTTTTACCAGCCCATTTGGGATTCTATGGAGTGGCCCTGCAGGTAGGCATCTTTGGCAAGCCTGGCGGCCATGACTGCAGGTTCAGGCACAGGGCTCGCTGGGCACACAAGAATTCCACAGGAGGGAGGCAGAAGCCTAATGCCCAGATGCCTGCCGCCTGCTGTCACTACTGGCTGGAAACCATCACATGGGCAGGCACCGCCAGCTGAACCAGAGCCCAGCTTTAGACCTTTTAACTTTAAAATGCCTGCTAGATATTTGAGTCAAAATTCTAGGTGGGCATTGGAGATATGAATATGGATTTCAGGGAAAGAAACAAGGCAGGCATTTGAATATTGGTGAAGGCAATGATCTCAACCACAAGGTACACTAGCTTCATACTTAGGTAGATCTAATGACCTTCACCAAACACTGTGAAAAGAGTGTATAGGACAGCAAGAGAGGGCTATAGGGAAAAAAGTTGTCTAGTAGACAACATTATTAAAAATGCTTCCAATGCTGCTTATCAGGGAAGCAGCTAGTTAGAAAATACATTTGCTATGGAATGCTAGCCCCCTGGAGAAATGAGATAGTGCCTATTTAAACATCTTAAGGGTATCAGATGCTAAGGTGTAGTAACTTGCAATCAATACCTGTAATTTGATGAGTAGGTAACCAAATCCACCCACCTGAATCCAATCTTTTATTTTTCATTATGGACTAGACTGAAAAAACAACAAGTTTTTAACCTATCAATGCAGGTGAAACACAGAATTTGATCTTTGGTAAATCTTAAAACATAATACAAAAGGGAGATAGTTTGAAGGCCCAGAAAGAAGCCCAGCTGTTGAGCCAGGACACATTCTTAGAGCCAGAGCCAACAGAAACACTGACATTCTTACACATTGAACAATGCTCAGCTTCCTTCCCTGGGGATCCACTGCTCCTAGATCCAAGGCCTAAGTCTCTGCCTCCCAGATGGCACAGCCACAAGCCCATCTTTGATATGGGCCAGGGTCAAAGTTTTGCAGACAATTTCAGAAAGACCTAATTATCTTGAACATTATCCTCAAACTTCTTAAATTCCTCCCAGAAAAAGTCTGAAAAAAGCATGAATTTTTGGAAAGTTGCTGTAATTTTCAGAGATTTATCCATCATTTTATTCAAGGTAAGTTTTTCATTCATTCACTACAGTGAAATCCATATTGAGAGTCTACTTTTTGTTATCACCTGTGGATATGGTAGAAAACAAGATAAACAAAAGTACCTGCTTTTGTGAAGCATGTATCCTAGTGGAGAAAATACAGATTAGCTCTGTTTTTCCTTCAGCTCTTGGCTATGAAAAAACTTAAGGTATAGATGTCCAAACCGAAGATTCTAATGGCTCTAAGGAATGATGATGAAACAATGTAGAATAAACTGAAATGAATTACTAGACTCTAACAACCAGAAAGACCTCTATTGCTTAGTCTCAAAAATCCTAAGAGTTATCAGTGAACTATACCAATTTATTTTGTCTATGGGAGAGGCCATTCAGGAAGTAAAATTTCAGGATCCTTTTGAAGAACTGGACTTGTTTGTACTGAAGGAAATTTTTAATCTAATTTTCCCTGTGTAATATCTGTGCCAAACACTGTACTAAGTTCTTTCCCATTATTATTTGGTTCAGTACTTTAAACAATCCTATCAGGCAGATATTTTTTATCCCACTATACAGAGGACAATGATTTCTTTAAGGTGGGAAAATCAAAATTGATGAATCAAAAACTCTAACAATATAAAATGGACTTTATTTAAAACTTCATAGATGAGAAAAATTTCTCCTGGCTCATGAAATAGAATGACAAAAATAAAAAATACAGGCTGGGGGCTGGCGCTGTGGCTCAGTGTGTTAATACCCTGGCCTGAAATGCCGGCATCCCATATGGGCACCACTTTTAGTCCTGGCTGCTCCTCTTCCAATCCAGCTCTGTGCTATGGCCTGGGAAAGCAGTAGAAGATGGCCCAAGTCCTTGGGCCCCTGCACCCACATGGGAGACCTGGAAGAAGCTCCTGGCTCCTGGCTCCTCGCTTCAGATCGGCACAGCTCTGGCTGTCGCTGCCATCTGGGGAGTGAACCAGCGGATGGAAGACCTCTCTCTCTCTCTCTCTACCTCTCTCTGTAACTCTGTCTTTCAAATAAATAAAATAAATCTTTAAAAAAATACAGGCTGACTTAAGACCCCAAATCTTTGTTGTATCAACTATCTGCTGAGCACATCTGGTTAAAATACCTTGTGACTCATACATGGGAACATCTACATTTGCCTCTGTAGAGCAGTCTGCTCTTCTTTGTGGGTGATCCTGTGCCTGGCTGGAAGACTGCTTGCCTATCCTATGCATGAGGTCAAGAGGGCATGGCACACCATGCCCCCTGAGAAAAACCCTGGTTGAGGACTAGGCACATTGAGACCCACATATGACCTGACCTCTGGCAGGCGGCAGGGACCCCAGGCACATTTCCCAACCACAGCTTCCTGTTGAGGGGCCTTGTAATTGTCAACTAGGTAAACAGCTCCTAGGTGTGGCCAAGACCCATAAAACTACCTGGAAGGATACCTAGGCTACATGACCTTCAAGCTGATTGGAGAAGTGTAGAGGTACCAGTATCAGCTTTATCCTATAGAATTAGTGTTGCTACCTTAAACTGGCTACTCCCCTTTGTCTGCCCTATAAAAGCTTGTGCCTAACTGTTAATAAACGGACATCTTCACCAAAACTGTCTCTGGTGCTTCTTGTCAAAGAACACCATCACCCCACCATCCCATCCGTGTGGACTTCACAAGACAAGCCATACTTCTTCACCATGCTTATGCTCAGGTAGGTTGATCATCATGAACATCATCAGTAGGCTCCCTTGCATACTGACTTCCACTTGGATTTGGCCAATGGAGGTATTCCCAGAAAACTATGAGAGGTGAAATGGATGAGAGAAAGGTGAGGTCAGAGTAATCACCCTCCCATTTCACACTGCCTCCATTACAGTGACCATCTGTTTTGCACTGGGGTGCTGAAAACTTGGAAAATGGAACCTAAGAGTTTAGGGGGCAAAATTATTTCCTCTAAAACAAAATTAACTTATGAGGCATAGACCAACCCTAAATAGAACTAACTCTCCATATACTCAGTACAGAAAATATGTTTAACTCTTCTCTTTTTACCTCTCCCTAAAGATGGATTATATCTCCCATTCTCTTCTAGCATTGTCAGGAGGAAAAAGTTATTTTATTAATTCAGGGTACTTTCACTTTAAATTTGATATTTCTTCATCTAAAAGTTTGAAAAGTTCAATAAACCCTGAAGCCGGAACAGATGTTAGCATTTTAATATTACACTTTAATATAATCCCTTTCGGTATTACTAATGATGCCTGATTGCTTTAAGTTTTACAGTAAAATAAAAGCATTTGACTTTATTTTAGAATGGTTGAACATATTGGAGTCACATTCTATTACTTCAAAAGAGATTACCAAAAGAAGAAACACTGACAGAAGTTGGTAAAATGGAATCTATTATCAACTGCTCTCCCTAGTCAACCATCTTAAAAATTGGTCTGCTTAGGAAGCCATTTAAAGCCTCCTATATTCTCCTTCATTGATCAGAATAATGATTTAAAAATGCAGTCCATATGGGAAAAAGACATGTTTACCCCAGAGTTACTCTACTAAATATATTATAGTGGTACAGAACATTAGCATTGCTCAGCATTAGTCTTCCCTAACTACAATCCTCCTCATTGCTCCCATTCTAGTTCAACAACTTACTAAGTGTCATTTTTGCTACTATTACTGCTCTCCTCTTCCACATACCCTCTGTGCTCCTACCAGAAAGTTCTTTTTTGCAAAGTAAGTGTGATCATGTGTCTTCCCTGTGTCAACCCTTTGCATGGTCTACAGAATAAAGCAAACTCCCAAGAAAAGCAAACTAAGCTTCTCTTCCTACAGAGCTTCCCCTATTCCTTTCTCCAGGCCTATGCTGGATCCTTTGCTTGGATGCCTTGTCCTCCCTTTCCTGGATGCAGCTTGCTTTATCCTGTCCTGTCTGGATGAGTCTCTCCCATCACGCATGGAAAGCCTCTCGTGTGCCTCCTCACACACAAGAGACTGAGTCAAATGTCATCTCCTAGCTAAAACTTTCCAGAACTTCCTCCCCACAACAGCTTCCTGCCACCTGTCATCTCCTCTTCAGTGATTTTTTTAAACTTAACTATGCCTCTTTTTCCTTCTTTGTTCAACATCCCATCCTTTGAGAAATAAGGAAAAGTAGTAGCTACCATTCTCTTTTATAAGGCTATGTCATTCTGAGTCATTGAATTCTAATTGCATTTTTAAAAGAAATACCATGTACTGAGCACCTGCTATTTCACTGTAAACTATTATTATTATTATTATTATTTACATGCATAGTTTCAGTTAATCCTCACAGCAACATTAGGTAGAGAATCACTGTTACCCCATTTTATTGATGAGAAACTGATCTGAAAACAAAGAAATGTTGCTCAGGGCAGTATAGTTTGTGGTGACATAACTAGAATTTGGCCCTATGTTTTGTCTTACTCAAAACGTGTGCTTTTTCCATGATACCATCATTTTTTCACAAAGGTTATTTCCTCAGAGTTTTAATATTTCCTTTTATTTACAGAGTATGTTACAGATTATAAAATACTTTTGCACCATTATCTCATTTGGTCACCAATAAAGCTGTAAAGTAGTTAAGGTAGGGTGAGGGGGTTCATTTTATAAATTGGGAACTCAGAGAGGGAAATAATTCTCTGAAGATCGCTAAATCAAAAACTGAAGATATCAAGACTAAACTGCTATCTTCTAAGTCTCTGTTCTTTCTATATAACACCACTGTCTCCCAACAGATGTTGCATTTTCTTCCTGGCAAGAAAGAACAGATGAATCTTCAAAACAATTTGACTCCCTACAGAGATTCCAAACGAATCTCCCACATATCTTGCTCTTTGGTCCTGCCTTAGCCACCAAGGACTCAACCTTTAATCTGATCAATTAGCTGTAAAACTGAGGTTACATTGCAACAGGATAGCAGTCAACTCCAACATCAGAGATGGGGTTCTGTTTTTGTTTTTCACCCTACACTGATTTTTTTTTAATTTGAAAGGCAGAGTTACACAGTGGGGTGGGTGGGGGGGAGGAGCAGGGAGAGAGAAAGATATCTTCCATCCCACTGTCACTCCCCAAATGGCCACAATGGCCAGGACTGATTTAAGCTGAAGCCAGGAACCTGTAGCTTCTTCCAAGTCTCCCACATGGGTTCAGGGGCCCAAGGACTTGGGCCATCTTCCATTGCTTCCCAGACAGATTAACATGGAGCTGGATTGGAAGTGGAGCAGCTGGGACTTAAACCAGTGTCCCAATGGGATGCCAGCATCACAGGTAGCAGCTTGTTATACAACAACACCAGCCCCATCTACACTGCATTTAAAAAAATGTATCAGTTCCTAATTTTCTAAAAGTCAGATGTCTAAATTCTCCTGGAGGAAAAGAAAAAGTGCCAGTGCAGTTACAATTACCAGAGCTTAGTGTTCTCCAACTCCTGCTTTTACGTACCTGCTAGTCCTGGTTTCCAGCCTAGTTCTTCCCATTGGGGAACCTCCATTGACTGTGATATGTAAAAGAACTTGTAGGAATATCATCCAAAACCTTGCCTTCTTTTCTAATGTTCTTTTCAAAGTTTAGCTCAAGGCCCTGCTTTCCTAGAATGGGTCCCTTCTCTAAAATATTGAAGTGCATCCTCTATAAAATTAATTCTTTTCTCCTTCATGCAAGAACAAAGATATTAGGTGTTACTTGCTCCTTCTGGTGTCGCTTTATGAATTCTCATTCCATCTGTGCCATAAAGGCTCCAGGAGAAAGGGGATTTTGTGAGTGAGAAATGATTGCTCATTGCAGAGTATGAGAACTTGTTTCTGTCTACTAGGCTTCTGTTCTTTATCTTTACCATCCGTGGTTTCTGATGGACACTCAAGAGACAATTGCATACTGTAAATGACTAAAAAGTTCTTTCTTGCCAGTACCGCGGCTCACTAGGCTAATCCTCTGCCTTGCGGCGCCAGCACACCGGGTTCTAGTCCCGGTCGGGGCGTCGGATTCTGTCCGGGTTGCCCCTCTTCCAGGCCAGCTCTCTGCTGTGGCCAGGGAGTGCAGTGGAGGATGGCCCAAGTGCTTGGGCCCTGCACCCCATGGGGGAGACCAGGATAAGTACCTGGCTCCTGGCTTTGGATCAGCGTGGTGCACCGGCCGCAGCACGCCGGCCGTGGCAGCCATTGGAGGGTGAACCAACGGTAAAAGGAAGACCTTTCTCTCTGTCTCTCTCTCTCACTGTCCACTCTGCCTGTCAAAAAAAAAAAAAAAGTTCTTTCTTAATCTCTCTGGCCTCAGTTTCCTCAGCTGTAATATGAGGATGATAAATTATTTATTCTTTAAAGGCCCTTCCAGATAAAGCATTGCCTGATGCTAGGGGGAACCATCTTTGTATGAGTACAAGCCCAGTTTTTGGCAAAATAATGTTTTAATTTCTAAGTTATAATATAAAATGAGTAATTATTAATTAAAAAAAATAAATGCAACACATTCTCATAGTGTTTTGGTTGTCCACAGAGCCAGAGTACCTCCTGGGTATATATGAGGCTTCATGAGTTAGTAGAAAGAACCCTAATCTGCAACAGCCCAGGAGATTTCATTATGCCATTTACCTGTTATATGATCTTGGGCAAGTCGTTTCCCTTTTTAGTTTTCTCATTAAATTGAGGCAATGGAGTAAATTCAATAAATTTGTGATGACAGATCCAAGGAATACACTATTTGGTGAACTGAGGAAGCAGTGACAATGGAAAAAATTCCAGACAACTAGTTGAAAGACCAGAGTGTTATTAATAGTTCTGCTACTCACTAGCTTTGGGACTCTGGGTTGTTATACACTTACAGCCTTTGGGCTTTTGTCCCAATTAGTATTTGTCATTTTTGTGTTGTACTTGTTTGTGTGTTTGCTTAACATGGCTAGTGCATTCATTTTCTTTTTTAATATTTATTTATTTGAAAGCCAGAGTTACAAAGAGAGGTAGAGAGAGAGAGCGAGAGAGAGAGAGAGGTCTTCCATCTGCTAGTTCACTCCCCAGATGGCCACAACAGCTGGAACTGCGCCAATCCGAAGCCTGGAACCAGAAGCTTCCTCTGGGTCTCCCACGTGAGTGCAGGGGCCCAACTTGGGCCATCTTCTACTGCTACCCCAGGTCATGGCAGAGAGCTGGATTGGAAGTAGAGCAGCCGGGACTAGAACTGGTGCCCATATGGGATGCTGATGCTTCAGACCCAGGCTTTAACCCGCTGCGCCACAGCGCCAGCCTCAGCACATTCATTTTCATGACCACTTACATTCCGTAGGCATATATATTTGTTAACCATCCTTCATCTAGGACTTTTATTCCTTCAACTAATAGCTATTGAGTATCCCTTGGAATACCAGGACTTTTTACAGACAAGGAAGAGTGATGTCCCAGGGAAGCTGACTTTCTGCTGAACTTAAGATTTTATCTGGCACATATAATACCAAATCTGGGTGCTGGCAACTGATTTTCTTCATCCCTGTTCCCTTCCCCCTTAATCTCATCCTTTGCTTTTGCCTCTACCTAATGGCCTCCCTTCAACTGTGTGCTCTGCCTGCAATCACATTGATCCTTCATTATTCCCCACCCCATCTGCACAGATAGCCAGCATGAGTAAGTATATGAGTAAATATTAAAGGTACAGTATGAGAAAGGGTTCTTGGACTCATGAGAATGTAGATTCAAATTACTGTGAAGTTACTGACTGTGGGAATTCGGTCAACTTGCTTAGCCTTTTGGAACCTCAAAGTGCTCATCTATAAACTGTGGATAATAATAGCAATTTCCCGGGAAAAGCAGTGCAAGATAAAGCATTCAAATAAACTGAGTGGTTGTTAAGCACGATGCCTGTCCTGGGCAGATTTTAAAGGCTCAACATACAGTCACTATTATGACCAGTAGGAAACCCAGAAAATGGTATTTGTGGTCAGGCTGATAGTGATGTTCTGGGAGAGGAAGGGCTTCTCATCTCTCCTAAACTTCTGCCAATTAGCTTATGTTAACGACAGCATATACAAGGCCTCAGTTTAAAGCCAGGGGTGCTCAGGGTGAGCGAATCAGCTATAAGATTGCAATTCAGTCTCCTTTTTACAGTGTGTAGAAAGAAGACCTTTGCCAGTTCCAGAGACAACACAGAATTCTCCCTACACGTGGCTTTGACTTCCAGTGCCAAAACACAAAAGACTCTTTACAAAGCCCTTGTTTTTCTTCAAATGTGTTTGTCAGGGGCCTTGTTTTGCAGATAATGGATTTACAAAGAGGCCTGTTCTTCTTTTCTGGCACCTTGAAAGGAGAAAATCTGAATGGAAGAAGGATCAAGTGGCTGCTTTGCACGTACAGTGTCTCTTGCCTACGTATTTTGCCACTGAGTTGGAGGCTAGGTTTCATAATTACACAGTGCCGATACACAATTACCCACAATTAGACTAATTATATAAATACACTATGATTATCTGAAAGATAACATTAAGTAACATGCAGAAAGGATGGGATGGCCCTACGGTAAACCTGAGGGGAGCAAGGCAGGGGGATGGAAGCAAGATCAAAGCAGTCTCCTGAGATCCCAGCACCACCACTTAACCAGGAGGAACCAGCTGCCCAGCCAGAAACAGGTCCTCTCCACAGCTTCAGTGAGTTGGGCTCCCTTCAGGTGACCCCAAAATGTTCCCTTTACAATCCCTGTCTGTTAACCCAACAAATTATAAAGAGCAGTTGGGTTGGAAACCATATCTAAGTTTCAGGCCAACACTGCAGCCACGCTGCTGACATTTAAAGGCAAGCTGTACGTACCTTCTACATTTCCACACGTTTCATATGGGCTTGTCATTCTTTGATGGTCAGGCCAGAGCAATTAAACAAAGGTTTACACTGGCATAAAAAGTATGGCTAACTGATGCATGGCCAACTCGAGCCTCTGGCCTGCTCTGAATATTGGCTGCCAACTTCCTCTTTTAGTAAATGCATGTTGAGCTCTGGAGGAAAAAAGAGGATTTCACAAATACACAGAAATAAAATTTTAAGTTAGTATCCCTGGTGTCTCTTTCCTGGATTCTCCTGGATCAAGATTCTCAATATTTGTTCAACAAACACAGTTTACTGAATACTACCTTTTTTTTTTTTCCTTTTTGCTCATCTTCAAATTAGAAGCTGGGAGTAGAGCAAGGAACAAAACAAATCATGATGTTTGCCTACCAGAAATTTATAGTTTAGCTGGAATAAGAAAGAAGGGACATGTTCTCTTTTCAAGTGGATTTGCCTTTGCTATGAGTATAAAGGATTGCGTCATTGTTACCAACTGTTCATCCTCCCGCCCACCATGGTGATTGTCATGTGACTTGGCAGTTCCTCTTTGTAATGGGTAGAGTGACTCCTCCACCCCACATTTGCAGGACTTGGCCATGTGATTTGCTTTGACCAATGGGATTTGTGCTGAAGTGATAATGTGTCAATTGCAAGCTTTATCCTCAACAAACAGCACAGGTTTTCATTCATATCTCGGGAGAGCTTAGCCTGCACTGTGAAAAGAACATGTTCCAAGTACCCTGTTGGTCTTTGATGAATTAGAAACACATTCAGTAAACCTGAACTGAACCTGGAGCCAAGTCTTACCATAACCCAAACTTTCAGCCTAGAGCCGAGCCCAGCTGCCATCAGCGGAGCCACTCAACTGACCTTCAGATGCATAAGTGAGAAATAATTACTAACACTGTATACCACTGAGATTTTGTACTCACTCTGTTATATAGAATTTTCATGGCAATAGTGGACAGATACAAAGACTTTTTGGAGTTCCATTTAAGAATTTTGGTACAGGATATGTTTCACCTAAAACAGGATAAAGATGATTTTCTGGAACGGTACAAACCAAGCCAACCTATATACAATGCTCTCCATTAGAAATAGGTTTAAGGAAAGGAGCTTAGATTATGGGAGAATTAAATGGAAACTGTTGCCTTTTATTGTATGTTCTTCATTTTCTAAATGCATAC